AGCATGTCATATAGCTCCATATTATATTATTATAGCATGTCATATAGCTCTATATTATATTATTATATTATTATAGTATGTCATATAGCTCCATATTATATTATTATATTATTATAGCATGTCATATAGCTCCATATTGTATTATTATAGCATGTCATATAGCTCCATATTATATTATTATATTATTATAGCATGTCATATAGCTCCATATTATATTATTATAGCATGTCATATAGCTCCATATTATATTATAGCATGTCATATAGCTCCATATTATATTATTATATTATCATAGCATGTCATATAGCTCCATACTCTATTATTATATTATTATAGCATGTCATATAGCTCCATATTCTATTATTATAGTATGTCATATAGCTCTATATTATATTATTAAATTATTATAGTATGTCATATAGCTCTATATTATATTATTATATTATTATAGCATGTCCTATAGCTCCATATTATATTATTATATTATCATATCATGTTATATAGCTGTATATTATATTATTATATTATTATAGCATGTCATATAGCTCCATATTATATTATTATATTATTATAGCATGTCCTATAGCTCCATATTATATTATTATATTATCATATCATGTTATATAGCTGTATATTATATTATTATATTATTATAGTATGTCATATAGCTCCATATTATATTATTATAGCATGTCATATAGCTCTATTATTATTATTATTATTATGATATTTATAGAGCGCCATCAGATTCCGCAGCGCTTTACAATGGGTGGACGAACAGACATGTAGTTGTAACCAGACAACTCTCTATATTATATTATTATATATTATAATATAGCTCTATATTATATTATTATAGCATATCATATAGCTCTATATTATATTATATTATTATAGTATGTCTTATAGCTCTATATTATATTATTATAGTATGTCATATAGCTACATATTATATTATTATAGTATGTCATATAGCTCCATATTATATTATTATATTATTATAGCATGTCATATAGCTCCATATTATATTATTATAGTATGTCATATAGCTCCATATTATATTATTATATTATTATAGCATGTCATATAGCTCCATATTATATTATTATAGCATGTCATATAGCTCTATATTATATTATAGCATGTCATATAGCTCCATATTATATTATTATAGTATGTCATATAGCTCTATATTATATTATTATAGAACAGAAGAAAGTGATCAGCACTCTCTATCTATACAAAATACAAAAGGAACAATAATAAATAAGTAAAAAGTGGCAGCACCCCTAAAAAGTATGGCTCCCTCACAGGCCTTACAACAGAAATGGTACAGAAAAAAGAAAGGAAGGCAGCGCCACTACAATCCACATAAATTAAAAGAGCACAGAATAGGCAGACTAGAATGCAATATATATAATAGATAATAAGCAAATAGAAGTCCAGAATAAATAGTCTGACTGGTAGATGAATCAAACAACGAGGTATATCTTTGTAGAGGTGAATACAGTCTTTTGTAGTGGGGGATTCTTCAGAGTGGTGTAGATGCGTCTTTGTACATCATATGAAATGAGAAAATAACAACTGATGGTATAGTATGTCCCGAAAGGGGTAGAAGCAATAAAAGAGTATATGGTCCTACTCACGTTTTCAAGAGCTATGGACTTAGCTCTAGTGTTGATAACGTACAGTGGTATAATCCCCACTTATGGGATACGTGAGGTCTTAGTATTCTTTCTTGATTAGGGAACCATATGTGGAAATAAAAGCCGGAACAACAATGGTGCTCAAAGTATAAAATGCCAGAGGTGAGAAGATAAAAAAACAAGTGGTTACTCACATTTAGTTGAACAGACTAACTGTTCAATGAATACAGCTTGAGTGGTATAATCCCCACCTAGGATTCTTGAGAGTAATATCCTCACTGGAAAGTAAAAACACTTCTGGTGCCGGATAAAAGGATGGTAGTAGTAAAAAAGTAAAATGATAATAGTAATAAAAAGTAACATGGCTAACTCACAGTAAGAAAGTGGCCAAAATACCTTTATTTAAAACAACATAGTTTAAAAATCCACAACGCGCTTAGGCTTTATCAAGTGGAGATCAGATTATTATATTATGATAGTATGTCATATAGCTCTATATTATATTATTATAGCATGTCATACAGCTCCATATTATATCATTGTATTATTATAGTATGTCATATAGCTCTATTATATTATTATAGTATGTCATATAGCTCCATATTATATTATTATAGTATGTCATATAGCTCCATATTATATTATTATAGTATGTCATATAGCTCTATACTATATTATTATAGCATGTCATATAGCTCTATATTTTATTATATTATTATAGGATGACATATATCTCTATATTATAGCATGTCATAGTTCTATATTATATTATTATATTATAGTATGTCATATAGATCTATATTATATTATCGTATGGCATTGTAACGGCACCCCCAGGCATAAAAGGGTTAAACCGCCGTTTAGTAGATCTTCCCCTTCCAGAGACACAGGCACAGCTACTGCAGAACCACAAACTCCCGAACAGGATACCAAATAGCACTCCAAACTCCCGAACTGGAACCTCACGAATAGCTGCTAGCAGCTGAACAGGAAAAGCACCCAAGCAGTTTACACTCCTTGCTATCAGTCTCTAACAGCATACAGTAAATCCCCCCAAGAACGAGACAAAGCTCCGTGTTGAGGGTCAAGCAGTGAACAGTCAGAGCTGTGGGTTTATTGTTCTTATATACACATTAGTACCACCCACAGGGTTTTGGAAAACAACCAATAAACACATACAATACACTCAGACACTCCCACACAAAATACTCCCCTCTGCCTGTGATACAATTACCTTACACAATGGGTAATGTAATTATCATCGGCAGAGAAATACAGTTTTTCCACATTATTCATCACTTGAAAAGTATGCATCACATTCACAGAATCAGCATACTCCAAATACAAACATATGTCAAAATCATCCAAATTGGTCCATTGGTTCAAAAGATAGATCGATGTCCTTTGTGACCAAATGAAGCATGGCTTTTCTGTCCAAAACCAGTTCCACAGAGTCTTCTATCCTGGAGATAATTGGGAAGTAGAAATACAAGTGATATACTGGCGCTATAACTGAATATAACACTCTTTAGTCCAAAAAATTCTAAACAAGCTGCTGTGACACCTAGATGTAATCTTTCTTACTTACATCAATTTGAAAGGAAATACAAAAAAGGAAATAGGTGTAGCGCTGTATACATACATATAATAAGGTTGAACCTAATGGGCTGATTAGGTGTCCAGATGAGAGTAATTCCAATACTTAATACAATCAACCTAAAACAAGCAAAAAAGAACTCCAATAGTGTAACACCGTAAATATAGATATAATAAGAGTCAAATATAGCAATACAGGCTTGAGAAAGAAATCGAGTTTTTTTCCTGGTTTGTATCATGGGAATTAGATCACCTGAATGAATCATGGGAATTATGGTTCATTCAGGTGATCTAATTCCCATGATACAAACCAGGAAAAAAACTTGATTTCTTTCTCAAGCCTGTATGTTTAAATCCGTTTGGAAAGTTCTACTGTTTATTCAACGTGCAGAGACAGAGCCGATATAGAGGCTCCACTCTTAGGCGATTTGAGAAGATCACCTGGTTAGAAGAAGGGGAAGGTCGCCTGTACGGACCTACACGCGTTTATTCCTGAGCTTGGCATTAAGCTCAGGAAAATGTGAGTGTATTGCTATATTTGACTCTTATTATATCTATATTTACGATGTTACACTATTGGAGTTCTTTTTTGCTTGTTTTAGGTTGATTGTATTAAGTATTGGAATTACTCTCATCTGGACGCCTAATCAGCCTATTAGGTTCAACCTTATTATATGTATGTATACAGCGCTACACCAATTTCCTTTTTTGTATAATCGGGAAGTAATCCAATTATCTCCAAAGACAGAGGCAAAACTCCATTGAACACATGGCAGCAAAAGACAATAAAATACATAACAATATATAACTGTGCAGCCATTGCACAAAACAGGTACTTTCAACATATCCCCAGATAGCTCAGATCTGAGCGCACATTATTACTGAATGGCGCTCAGAGCACACACATACAGTTCAATTGCCATGGAGCCAAAGTCTTTACCATAGTCTTTCATTATACGAATGGGCTCCATGGCATAGCTATCTGGGGTATCCCCGCTCAAACAGGGCCAGTACCGACATGGGCCATAGTCTAAAGGCAGCAGGCGGGCAACCAGGCTCCTCCAATGCACAGTGGCAAGATTGGTCTCGTCACAAGGGGATTGTATGTTTGTACTGGGAGTGTCACCGTTTTCCCCTGTATTACTATTGGTTGCATGATTTATGTTCCTGTGCCCCACAAGGTTGATGTGGGAGGTTCCTTTGCATGGGTACTTGCATAAAAGCCAGTGTGGCACCATTAAAATTTAGTTCTGTTACATCCTTCATCTAGACTTCGGCTGATGTTTGGGTACCTGTCTGCTTTACTGGGAGAATCTACTTGGGAAGCTGTTATTTTGTATGGAGAATCAATTACTTTATTTTTCCGAACGGCGCGTTATAATCACTCATGTTCTTGCTGTTCGGGAGGATACTGACGAACGGGTATAGGCGATACCAGCGTTCGTTACAGGTATTATAGGAGATATTGTCCACAACATCTGGCCGGCCTGGATTGGTGTAGCACAGAATATAATTTGTGGTTACATGTCAGAAAAATATGTGGTCAGAATGGAGACATTCCCTTCTGTGTGTCTGTACTTTCGGTCTCCTGCAAACTGCCTGCTCAGTATTTATCTGCAACTTTTACTATATATTGTAACAATTTCCTTCTTACCTGAATGGAGAGGGATGACAGATGTCTACAAAATGATGTCTCTGTACAATTGCAAAGCTAATCTCATCACTGGGATTGCCACAGTTATGTAAATGCATATTACATTACTCCGTTCTATTAACCATGCATTTTGTAACTGTTATATCTCATGTAACTGTAGTGTTAAAATGATTTAGAACCACTGTTTTCGATTACAGTACTACTGCGGTTGCTTTAATTCCAAGAGTGCCAGAGTCCGTTCTTAGAGCATTTCAGTAAATCATGAACAACGACAGGAATCGGGTGGCTGAGCAGATCTTGGATCTAACCATGGAGATCATCCTCCTACTCACTGGAGAGGTGAGGGATTCTGGGTAATACTAGATTATCTGTCTGCTGTCTGGAGAGTTGGAGGTTTCTGGGTAAACAGACCAAAACAGAACGCAAGCGAATGTCGAGAACACAGAACAACTCAAATAGCTTGTTCTTTGGTTGACCTTACTCCGTTCTGAAGCCGATTTTAGTTATTCTTGTGCCATTTTAGAGAGAACCTAAACCATTTTCATATCAGACTAATCCCACCCAAAAAAAGCATTCCAGATTGAAAATGCAGGGATTCCGTGTAATTTTGGGCAGGAGATCATCATCATGCTAGCTAGAGAAATTAGGAGGGGGAGAGAAATTGAAATTAGGAGGGGGAGAGAAATTAGGGGGGGAGAGAAATTAGGAGGGGGGGTGAGAAAGAGAAATTGGGAGGAGGAGAAGGAAATTGGAGCGGGAGGAGAGATTGACATTCATCACATACACACAATGCACCCCTTGCACACAGAAAAACACAATGCATTACACACACAGACACACATACACAAGCAATGCATCCCTTACACACACAGACACACACAATGCATTCATTACACTCACTCAATGCACCCCTTACACACACTCAATGCATCCCGTACATACACAGAAACACACCTTGCAGCCCTTACACATACAAACACAGATTCACACAATGCATTCCTTACACACATATCAGGACATCCCCTACACACTCCACCCCTGTGAACAAACTCCACAGGAACATGAAGGACCCTCTGGGAATTCAGACCCTGAGCTGCAAAGGACTCCTGAAAATGGAGCTGTCTCCCGCTCTCCCAGAAATATTGATTTTAGACCACAGTTACAAACAGCCTCCAGAGATCCTGTTCTACACCAGACCAGTGGAGCCAGACTGCAGCTAGAGCCCATCATCATCCTCATCTGGTTGTAAGTAGGCAATCTAGTATATTATTCGTGGCACTAAGCTCTAATTTACCTCACATTAAAGAAACACTATAGTCCCCAGAACCACTGCAGCTCAATGTAGTGGTTCTGGTGTCTATAGTCTGTCCTTGCAGGCCTTTTAATGTAAACACGGCGGCACTGCAGCACTGGCGTTAGTTAACATGGCAAATCATATGGGTGGGGCATTGTGATGTCACATGGGGGGGGGGCGGCAAACTTTTCTTTTGCCTAGGGCGGCAAAAATCCTTGCACCGGCCCTGGCTGGAGGGGGCTGTGTGAGCTGTGGCCGCACAGTGTCCCATGGAAGTTAGGGTGCCGTGCGGCCAGTACAGCTCACACAAGCAAACAGCTGATAAACTGGCCGCAGGGAGGAAATGTGTATGTGTGACTGTCTGCCTGTGACTGTATGTGACTGTCTGCCTGTAACGGAGTGTGTGACTGTCTGTCTGTAACTGAGTGTGTGACTGTCTGCCTGTAAATGTGTGTTTGTGGGGCTGCAGGGATTTTGTAGAAGGGGGTGGGGGTTTTGTATTGGGACAGGAGTCTTTATAAGGGGGGATAAGCAGGGGATTTGTAGAAGGGACAGGACAGGTTTTGTAGGAGGGGCTGACAGCGGTTTTGCAAAGTTTACAAATTGTAAAAAAAAAAAGAGAACCTTTAAATTTTTTTAGAGGTTTCTTTTTTGTTTTTTTTTGGGGGGGGGGGGTGCCAAGCACAGGATCCGCCCCGGGTGCCAAATGCTCTAGGTACGCCCCTGGTCCACACTGTCATTCTCTGAAGTTCTGCCTGTGCATAACATTCAGAATGACAGGTGGATGCGTATAAGGGACTTGAACTTGTGGCTTGGTGAATGGTTTTGGGAGCAAGGATTTGGCTTTGTTTCTCTTGGTAGCTCTATTTAGAATAGAAATGAACTGTACAAAAAAGATGGTTTGCATCTTTCTCAAAAGTGAACAAATGTTCTCAGCGAGCAGTTCAGAGGTTTTGCTAGGAAGTATTTAAACTAGGAAGGGCGGGAAAAAAGGGTGATAAAACATCAATCCAATTACCCCCAAAACAAGGACAGAAAGTAATTGTTGTGAGTGAGTTAAAAAATGATAAGCTTAGAGTCATGTCTACAAATGCTCACAGTTTAGGGAATGAGATCCATGAACTTGCTGTAATGATGACAACTGTGAATGTAAATTTAGTGGCTGTTACTGAGACATGGTATAATAAGAAGAATTACTGGGATATAGCAATACCAGGGTACCCTTTAAATAGAAAAGACAGAGAAAGCAAGAAAGAGTAGGGGTGGCCTTGTATGTGAAGGATAGCATAAAATCCGTTTGGGTTATGTTAGAATTTGGTAATCACACAGTAACTCATGTAGGTGTGATCTATAGGCCCCCTGGACAAACATTAGAGTCAGATGATCTGCTAGTTGAGGAAATAGCTAAAATTACATTAAAAGGGAAAGTTATCATAGGTGACTTTAATCTTCCTAACAGTGGTGTACACACAATCCATGGGGCCCCAGTGTGAAACTGATCTGTGCCCCCCCACTCTCCTCACCATCTTCCCCCCCCCGACAGACACACACACACACATACATACAGACACACATACAGACACACACACACACGTCCATACATACAAACAGACAGGCACACATACAAACCCTGACTGTCACATACACACACTCACACAAAATGTTTGTCACCCTTCTGTTTCCTACCTTTTAGGTGCAGGAGGGTGACTTTCCCTGGGGTCCAGTGGTGGCTCAGTTTAATGGGAGTTCCCACTCTGACATCCTCCTTTGGTTCCTCCTGTGCAGGCTCTGTCTGATTGCTGGGAGGAGTGACCGGGGCAGACACTTCCTCCCAGAGTGTGATCTCATCACACTGTTAAAGCGCTGCAGCGCTGACCGGGCGCCCTGACAATCCATACCCAACAGGTGGCCCTAACAGCATGGGCCACCCGATGGACCCCTTGGACGGTGGCCCACCATGCGGAGATGGTGGCGGGTACCCAGCCGCAGGGCAGCCAGGCCCCCTGAAGTGACGTGCCTGGTCGCAGCTGTGACCCCTGCGACTGCGGTATGTACACCACTGCTTCCTAATGTGAACTGGAAAACCAAAACAGCTACTTGAGCACACAGGAGCACACATATTCTAAACTCCCTAGTGGGATTATCTCTAAAACAAGTCATTGATGAGTCCACTCGTAAGGAGGCCATACTAGATTTAGTGTTAACATATGGAGATTTTGTATCAGATATTACTGTAGGTGAAAGTTTAGGATCTAGTGATCACCAGTCATTGTGGTTTAATATAAGAAAAGGGACACTTCACACCACACAAAAACAAAAGTTTTAGATTTTATAAAAATACTTTTCTAAAATTAGAATATGCATAAAGGAGTCATTATCCGATTGGAGCAGTTTAAATAGAGTCCAGGAGGAATGGTATTATTTAAAAGTTGCACTACTGAAAGCAAAAGAAAATTTAATTAGGCTTGTCAGTAAGAGTAGAAACAATTAAGAAATCACTGTGGTACTCTGCAGAAGTGGGAAAATAGTAAAAAAAACTATTATTTAGTAATTATAAAAGAAAATCAGAGTGAGGAAGACAGACAGATCTAGGATTGGGCAGAAAGAGCCTCTAAAGCACACACAAAAGAGATAATAGCACAGTCAGTACAACAGGGGCATACATTTTTAGATACATTAATGAGAAAAGGAAAGCAAAACAAGGATTAGTAAGATTAGAAACAAAAGAAGGAAGGTATGTAGAAGAGGATAAAGGTCTAGCTGACTGCATCAATGAATATTTGTGTTCAGTATTTACAGCTGAAAATGAAGGAATGGACTTCAGTTAGGAAAAAGGACAAATTAGTCATTTGTTACATGCAAGTTTACAGAGGAAGAAGTTATTTTTCAACTGTCAACAGTAAAGACAAATAAGTCAATGGGGCCTGATGGGATACACTCAAAGTTATTAAAAGAACTTAGTGGTGTACTAGCAAAACCATTAACAGATTTATTTAACTGTTCATTGTTAACAGGAGTAGTCCAAGAAGACTGGAAATTAGCGAATGTTGTACCAATTCACAAGAAAGATAGTAGGGAGGAGTCGGGCAACTATAGGCCAGTAAGCCTTACTTCAGTTGAGGGGAGAGTGATGGAAAACATGTTAACCCCTTAAGGACACATGACATGTGTGACATGTCATGATTCCCTTTTATTCCAAAAGTTTGGTCCTTAAGGGGTTAAAGGATAGGATTGTTGAACATCTAAAATCACATGAATTTCAAGATCAGCGACAACATGGGTTT